AAATTGGTGGTCTCTTCTTTAAACGGCTGCATTTTTCAGAAAAATATTTTTTTCTCAACACTCGCTACCAGAACATTTAAAAAAAACCAACAACAACACTGCTTGACGCAGAATCTGGTTGCAACTACAGTTATCCTCGACTGCAGCCGAGCTTGGAATTTCCACTGCTAAGCAAGACAGTTGTTAAGAGAGGGTTGGTCCTTGTTACGATCTTTGTGCCTCAGTTGTTAAGTGAAACACTGCAGCCCTTAAGTGAATCACATGGTTGTGGAGTGATCATGTCACTATGGGAATGTTGTGACGATAGTAAGTGTGAGAACCAGTCATAAGTCACTTTTTTCCCCCACTGCTATTGTAATTTTGAACAGTCACTAAACTAACATATTTCTCTCTCTGGCACAGTGAGAATATATCTGCTGAACAAAACTCCGCTCTGGCAACAGGAAAGGAATCCGGCCATGAAAATACTCTGCTAGCTCCATTCAGTTGCCCAGACTCCAGTTTCAAGCGAAGGACCAAACAAAACTAAAGCAAACTAAAACACACACTCCTGCAGCCTTGCTCTGCCTATTTTTTTTTTCCAAGCAAAGCTGCATTCCTGATGCAACAGACACAACTTTTAGTAAGAAAAAAAAATGTTCATCCTTTTCAGGAAACTTACTGACCCCCCCGCCTCAGAAAAAAAAAAAAAAAAGGAGGAGGGAGAGGAATCCAAAGCTACTTTCAGGCAAAACTCCACTGTGTTTTCTCTCTCGACAATGTAGGTCAGTTGAAGAGAGGCAGCTGAAAGGAATATCTTGAAAGAGAAGTACAGAACTGCCAGAAAGCAGAAATAAAAGGCAGAGAAAATCAGAGAGACAGAAGCTCCTCTCCATCTGTAAATATCAAAAGAGAAACAGCTGAAAGGAAAGCAGAGTTTCTATAATGGGAGCATGAAGGGTGCAAACCAATCCTGGCTGCCTATTTTAGCTCTGATATTAAAGCTCTATGTGGCCAGACAGAAGCACAGCTGTAAATAAACCGGGGTTTACCCACGTGAGCTAGGTTGCCAAAACACCTCTGCATGTCAGCGCCCCTGTGCTCATTTTCTGATCTTCTCCCTCTTCTCTCTCAGAAATTCAGTTTGCAAACTCCAGGTTGTCCTTGACTTACAACAGTTCACCTGAGCGACCGTTCCAAGTTAAAACGGCCTGGAAAGAAGTGACTTTGGGCCGTTTTTCACACCTACGACCATCGCAGCATTCCCCTGTGGTCACGTGATTTACATTCGGATGCTCGATAATTGACTCGTATTTACGAGTCTTGGCGGGGTGGTGGTGTCTTCTGCAACTTTCTGGCAAGCAAAGTCCGTGAGGAAGCCAGATTCACTTAACAACCAGGTTACTAACTTATCGGTTGCAGAGGTTCACTTAACGACGGGGGCAAGAAAGGTCGTGACATGGGGCAAAGCTCCCTGAACAGCAGTCCCACTTAGCAATGGAAATTTGGCCTGAATTTTGGTCGTAAGTCAAGCACAACCTGTACAAAATCCTACCTCTTCGCTCCTGCCTTTCCTGGGGCCGAGAAAAGAACGGGAAGGAGTTCTCACCTGTTGCCTGCTAAGATTCAAGAAATGTATTTCATGGCACCTGTAATTACAACTGAAAAGGTCACACCACTGTTTCTTTAGTTAATGAGACTAATTTTTCTTCACTGGCTATTTTTAGCGTGGATTCTTTTTTTACTTGCTTAGATTTTAACTGGAAAAGAATGGCCACACCTGGAGGCAAATTCAATTAATGGCTGACGCTGCATACATTTAATTTTCTTTGGTTAATTAATTCACTTCCTAGCGCCGGCCATCCTTCTCTACCAATGCACAGCCTGTGTTAAGTACAGTCAGCTTCTAATAATGTTCTTTTTATCTATATATCTCAAAGCAAAATGCCACTCACGCATCATCACAAAATCTCCAGAACTGTAAAACCTATAAACTTGAAATTTGGCATGTATGTTCCTCCTGGCTTCTAGGTGCTCACTGAGAAAGGATTTTTCGAAATGATCATCAGAGCATCAGTATTTCATATTAACATGCTCTGATGCTAAGGAGTTTTACTCCCCCTCCCCACCTGAAAAGAAATCTGTTCCAAAGGCAAAACACAAACAGAGAAGGGGAGTTTCAGTTTTAGTTTCATAGCAGCAACCGGCTTTAGTACAGAATAGTTAAGCTAAGCCATGCCCAGGCTCCTTGCTGTCTCCTTGCTCACACAGCAAATACTCTTTCAGTTTCCAAACAGCCATCACCTCTCTCACACACTGACAGGATGCTAGCCAGATGAATAGCGATGGATGCTGGTAGGCAGAGGCAGAGTCCGTCCCCCCCCCGCTTATTTTCCTCCCCAAAACTAAGCCTGAATATTTAACTTGAATATATCATCTTCCATTAATCAGTGTGTCATCTGTGTACAAATGTCTCTGTGCTATTACAATCAAAATTTACAATATTCATTACATTGATAATACTTCTCTAATCTTACAATAATAATAATCATCAGCATTATAATTCTATTCAGTTCTCCCTCTTAACATATCTTCATCTTGTAATAATGTTCTGAGGGGCTGGGCATGAAAGCATATTTATTTTTACCTCCTTTGAAAACTGGAACTGAGTTTTTTGGCTTTTTGGTACAATGGAATTGGTTGATTGCATTGCAGTTTTAAGTCTTTAAAGGGTGTTTTCTTTAAACAGTGACATGGGGGGATTTCACTGCTGTTTTCAGGGAAGGGACACTCATAGCCTTCATGTCCTCTCTTTCCTTCTGGAGTTAGCAATGCAGAAATGGTAATGCATCTTCGTTCAAGAACACTTTTATATTATTTTATATTATTCTATAAGGATCAAGTGATGTGATTGCCCCAAATAAGTCGCTTTAAGTGGGCTGTCGTACAAGTTGAATTAATTGAACACATTGATTTGTAACAAATTGAATTGATTAAACATACAAAGAAATGCAGTCATGTTCCTTTGTCCTTCTCATGGACTTAATTCCTCCCAACTTTCCATAAAAATTAACTATAACTTGTCAGGTATCCAAATTGGGCAAACTCTAGTTTCCACAAACCATTTGCTTATGCACAGATGTTGCATGCAGTGGATTTTGGTGATTGGCCTTGATTAAATATTAGGGACACTGTGGGGTGAGATAACAGATAATCAGAATTGGAAGGGACCTTATAGGTCATCTAATCCAGCCCCCCACCCAAGCGGGAGACCCTACACCATTTCTGACAAATGGCAGTCCAATCTCTTCTTGAAAGTCTCAAGTGATGATGCTCCCACAACTTCTGAGGGCAACTTCTGTTCCATTGGTTGATTGTTCTCACTGTCCATGGTGCTCTCGGAGCTTGGTGGCTTTCTTGCAGATGTTTCATTACCAAACTAGGTAACATCATCAGTGCACTGTGCACCACAATTCAGTCCTGAGCTACAAATATTCTCTTCTGTAAAGGGACATTTTGGAAAATCTACATGATTGGCTTAAGCTGTCCAACCCTGTTATTGCCAAAGGTGCAGATGGAAACATGACAAAAAGACACTTTGGTGTTCAAGATTCCCACAGACTCAGAGCTGATCATCTACAGATGATGTAAGGGTGAGCAATTGGGGTTTATCATGATGTCATTGTGCAAGGGAGTGGTGCGGTGGGCTAGAGCTCTCGCCTTACAATCAGGAGGCTATGAGTTCAATCCTAGATAGAGGCAAATATTTCTCTCTCTGGGCACAGTGAGAATGTATCTGCTGAACAAAACTCCGCATTGGTGACAGGAAAGGCATCTGGCCAGTAAACACTCTGCTAGCTCCATTCAGTTGCCCAGACTGCAGTCTGCAAGGGATTATGGGGTCGTTAAAAGTTGTTGATGATGATGCCATTGTACAAATGACACAAATTATGTATGTGATGTTATTGTGGGCTGTACGAATGCCTACGAAACTAGGAGTTAATCCTGAAACAGATATGCTTTGTGTTCCTCTAGCGGAGAGTCTAAAACCAACAAATAGGATTCAATAGAAGGTAGTGTTCATTTAATCCTCTTTCTAAAGATCTTAGAAATATCTCATTATTCTAAAGACATCTAAACGACTAGCCTTCTCCACCTCAAATGTATCCTTAAATTGTCATTTAATGACTAAATTTTCCCATATGGAAAGCATTGCATTGTGTACGTTTGAATGCGATGCGAAGTCTGAGAAACAGTTTGATTTCCCCAGTTATAAGTGGACTCTACTTTTACACAACACAAGTCTTCTTTCCTCTCCCTCCACCTCCCTTTAGGGACAACAGAGCCGATATCACAGAATCTATCTTTTAAGGAAGAAAATTGATACTATATTTAGAGGCTCCGATATTGGAAAAGTCATTATGATTCTGTCAAAATGAGCCCCTCTCAAAGTGAGTTTGTTTGCTAGGCTGCTGACAAACATGATGATTTCCATCAAGTTTCATATTGCAGCTCTTGATTCAAATGAAAATTTACTCCAACTTAAAATATAAACCCCAGAGAAATAAATTTGAACTGTACAAAACAATAATACCTACTGCCATGAAAGTTTCATGCATTCCAGGGCCAGTTAAATAATATATATTAGTTGAGCTAATATTAACCGCTGCTACTATGTATTTTGAAGTGATTTTCCTATTCCCCCTGTCTACCCTACACATCTGCCTCGCCCTACCCATAATTGAGATTCCAAAGAACATTGATATCATTTCCTAGCTGTTGATAATTAGTATTTCAGAAATGTATTAGCTTTAGGAATGGCTAGCTAGTATATAGAGACGTTCTTAACTGATGTTTATTTAACGATATTGACTAACCTTTTAAAAGAGAAGGTATGAGATTCAACCATCTGAGAAATAAAAACTTTTTTTTTCTAAGGTTCTCATTAATTTTATCTCTGCTTTAGTTCTGATTCAGGTTTAAACCAACCAACCTCTTGTCTTTTGTGCATTTCAAGTTACCTCTTTCTTGGTGAATTCTGGTGCATGGTCATTTTTATCATCAATGACGATTGTTGCAGTGGTGGTCCCGGTCAACCCAACTTCATGTCCAGCCATGTCCTTTGCTTCTATGATGAGCTCATATTTTGGATTGTCCAATGTCTGAAGAGATGAAGAAAGAAGACAACTTACTCCAAGAATGAGACATTCATTCTACTTGCGATATCTCCATTGTTATGCTAGATAGAACCTAGATAGGGTTTAGATAGAACCAGTCTGGAATTGGTCTCCAGGTAAGTTGTAACCACATAAACAATCAACGTTTGAGAAAATGGAACAAACAGCATGCTTGTTACCAAAACTGGCAAATCTCAACAATAAATACTTTGATCATTTGGTTTAGCTCTTGATGGAAACAATATATACTTTCATCCTACAGCAATACAGCAACACATATTAACAAAGCATGTGAATTGTTAGAAACAATCATAATCATATGGCTTCTGACCAGGGCCAGAAGGTACAAGCCCTAGTAAGAATAGATAAGAGGAAGAAACAGCTGGTGAGAATGATAGTGTCTTCTGGAATAGAGATACATTATAATAAATAGAGCAATATTTTGATTTCTTTTCCAAGAAACTGAGCTAAAGATATTTAAGAAGGAGACGTCCCCTGTTTGTTGAGTGTAACTTCTGAACATCCATCTGTTGGGAGACTTCATCAACTCTATTGCTCAATGGAGAACAGAGATAGCAAAGATTAGGTTACAATTTCTATTTTCTTTTAAACAGGTGTGCTAAACTATTACATTCCCAGTGATGTTTATTGCAAGATATTAGAACAGCAAGACAACAATTATGATGCAGTGGTTAAAGTCCCAGGGCAGAAACTGAGAGACTGCGGTCTAGTTCCACCTTGGGCATAAAGCCAGCTGGGTAACATTAATCCACTCACTCTCTCTCATCACTAGGAAGGAGGCAAAGACAAAACAATTCCAAAAATATTCCCACAAATATTCCCTAATCCCAAAGTAAAATAAAATTAAAACATTTTAGAGAGGGTGCATCCAAACAAATTTCATTAAAACAAGGTCCTAGAAATCTATCCATATCCACCTATCCATCCATCCATCTATCACCACCTATTATCTATCTATCTATCTATCTATCTATCTATCTATCTATCTATCTATCTATC